TGAATATCCTCCTTCTAAACTCTCACCTAAACTTTTGTTCCAATTCAAATGGGAGTCACTTCCCAGAGGTGTCATGAAGTATGTCATATTGCACAGACACCCAAACTGGCTGTAGTGGTTAAAAGTTAGTCCACTTACACATTTTTCTTGCTATTCTTTAGTTGTAAGGAGTTATTTCATCTTCCCATTGTCTAATTTCCCTATATTTTTAAATTAAAGATAATATTGTTCTTTTCTTTAGGTTCATGAGCGCCAAGACACAGAAGAAGTTGATATCCTGACAAAAGGTACCATATATTTGAATTTTTAAATTTAGAAAGTTATATCATTGCTCTTTTGATTATATTTGAATCAATTTCAAGTTTAATGTATTTTAATGGTTATCGATTCACTTTACAATTGAGCAATTGATTTGCTCCTATACATTTGTCAGACAGTGAGAACTTATTATTTATGCCTATTCTTTGTTTGATGTCACAGGAGATAATAATCTTGGAGATGACAGACTTCTGTATGCTCAAGGTCAGCTCTGGCTGCAACGGCGTCATATCATGGGGAGAGCTGTTGGGTGAGTTGACAGTTTGAAATGTCCTTGGACATTTTTATATTCAAGGAGCAGCTTGTTTCCTATATTATTAGCTCTGCTTAGAAGTTAGAAGAATAATTTTTTTTTTTGGTTATAATTCACTAAACTTTTTATGTGGCTTATGATGAATAACAATTTTAAATCTCGTAACAGTCAGGAAAGACTCAAATCCAGATGAACTTAGTCTATTTGGTAGCCCTTCTCTATAACACCAGTAGACATGTATTTGCTATGCACGACCCAGTTAAGTACCTCTGATGCTCAGACTCTTCAAAATGGTCGGAGTACCCGTGTCGACACGACGTGTGTATGGATATGGGATATGTGTAGTATCCTTCAAGTTTCAACCTAACACGGTGCCGTTTCTGCTTCTTCTTTCTTTTTCTTTTTCTCTCTTTTCTTATTTCTCATTTTTGCTCTCTGTAAACTTAGTGCTGTCGCCGAAACTGCGGAGAAAGGCGGCGGTGTTAGGTTTTCCCTTCTGCTTCTTCTTTCTTTTTTCTTTCCCCATTTTTTCTCCCCTCTTCCTCTTTGTATCGGTGGTTTAGGGTTTTCTATGTATAAAATGAAAATGTGTTAGTGTTCCACTAAGTCCAAATTGAAATCAAGTCCTTCTTTTTCTATTTTATATAATATTTAGTAATTAACTTCCCATAATTGAAAACTAAACCCCAAAATTCTATTTTATTCGTTTTTTCCTATTCAATACACATTTCCTTCTTTGTAAACAATTGATTTTTGGTCTATTCAATATGACATCTTTGTTAGTAAAAAAATTGAAGTTTGAAAGAGGTACGTACTCGTGTCCGAAATTTGGACTATTTTTAGTCATATGTCCATATTCTACATTTTAGAAAATAAAAGATCCAACAATTAGATACATACTCGTACCCAAGTCCAAGTATCATAGCTAAGCACATCCTCCACCACAGGTTCTTAATACTGACCATAAATAATGGGGATGGTAGGGAAACCACTGTTCCACAAGGAAACTGTTGATGAGCTTGCTTTAGAAGATTCTAACAATGTGCCTGAACTAAAGTGACAAGTAATGTCAATAGTAGCATCTTTTCAAAAACTTACCACACTTTCTATGTCAAATTCCCAAAATATTAATACTTCAAAAAGAAATCAATGATCGATGTTAAGACAAAAGGTTTCCCTGAGACTGCAAACAAAACCCATCTAGTTCACTAGAAAGCAATTTGAGCACAATTTACCTGTTACTCCATGCTTCCGATGCGTAACATAAAAATTGGGGAAAATAGACTTGGCCCATCTCCACTCTAGTAGCTGATCAGAGTTGCTAATTTACTCAAGAGCCAGTTTCGATGAAACTGGGAAGGATATTAGGCTTATGAATGACTTGAAAGGAAAAGGAGAAAGCACCTGGAATTGAGTTACTGCCTTCATGAAAATATACCAGGACTCTCCAGCAGCTTGGTTCCCAAAACGGGAAGAAGAAAATAGAAGGGCAGTAACAGTTCTATCAGAATGTGCAAGATCATTTTCATCTCTGGAATGTCAAATTTCCAAAGAGTAAAAGCCCAGTCTCAAATTAGCGATTGAACCACGCCATCATTAAATGATGAAGAATGTGGAGCCCATATTAAAACCAACTGGTGTCAAGAGGAGTAAGAAAGCATTTTCTCCTAACTAAAATCATTCCCACGTGCTTTCTGCTTCCTTGTTAGTCATTTGTGTTGGCCACGAGCCTAATAATGATGGCCGGCACAGCCCACATTCCTTAATGTGCCAGTTCATGGCACACTGAAACTGGGCTGCAAGTGTGGAAAGGGTGTCAGCTGTGGTGGGCCAGCTCAGTTTACACCTGTAAATAGGTTTGTTGGTGTGCAACTATGATGAGCTGCTCAAGCTGTGCAATAGGTCATTAAGGTTCAGAAATTATAAATTAGCCTAAATAATACTTGAACACGCTCATTTATTTTAGGAACTGAGCTTGAATGAGCTTTGCTTGAGATAAATATGAGGTGGTTGAGCAGCATGATTCATTCACTTATTCTAATGCTTATAGATTCCGTGAGCGAATTGAAGTTGAGTTCTAATAGGTTATTAGCATCCAAATGTATTTAGATCTCGGATTATTGTGATTCCTGGTACAATTTAAATTTGTTTTGACTAAGATCCTCAAACTCAGAAGGATAGTTATCAGATGTTGATCTAGTTGTCAAACCTATGAATCATCCAAGTGAGTTGTACATCTTGACTCTTCAGTATTGATTTTATCTATTTGTGTTTTTGCTGGTCCTTTGATGTGTTTGGACTTAGGTTACTAATTAGTGAGAAATGTTAATTAGCTTCACATGGTTTTGATTCTTACTTTTATCTTCTCATTATTCTGAATTCCAATGCACCATCGGCTCTCGTGTTTCTGTGTTGCAGATTTTTGCCGTATGTAGGTTGGGTGACTATTATAATGACGGAAAAGCCTATCATAAAGGTTTGTCTTTGATAGCAATATATGAAATCCATACTCTTTTGAGTATGTAGTTGTTTGCATGAAATGTTGATTACTCCCCACCCCAGCTCCCATTCCTGTTTCGTGATTTCATGGTTGGTGGAGGAGGGTACAGGACTTTCATGTTTATTAAGCCTTTGTTTGACATGCATTAAAATCGAAGTTCTTATTTTTCCTCAAACTCATTTTCAACCACGCATTCAAACAATAAAAATATTTTGCATATAAACCCAAATTTTTTTTTTCCGCTTTTTTACCACACATTCTTTAAAAAATCACTATTCCATAATTCATTTTTCCAAAAAAAAAAACCTCAGCCCCTGTTTGTCTACCATTATTCCAAAAAATTGTTTGCTACAGTAAAATTCTCCACCACACATCCCCCAATAAAATATTCTACACACAAACCAATAAAATTACTAAAATTCTCCACCACATATTCACCCAAGAAAATATTCTCCACACATTCTCCAAAAAATACTATTCATTACTCTATTTTTCTCCCAATAATGGGAGACAAACACACCCTGATTTTAATGGATGTCAAAGGTCAGAAAAAAGCAACAGCTGGTTTAGAGTTTGACTTGGTTTGCATCTCTTGCAGTATATTCTCATAGGAGCTTTGGGGTTGCTAGTGATTACTTCGAAAGAATGAGGGTTGTGAAATTGGTACGCACGCAGACTTCAAAAACTTGGCAGATCTCTCTCTCTTTCTCTCTCTCTCTTTGGTACGCACGCAGACTTCAAAAACTTGGCAGATCGATCTCTCTCTCTCTCTCTCATTTTGTAGACTGAAGAAACTCAAAAGGGAAACAGAAAACATTTTCTTAAATTGGAATGTGATATTCGTCTTCTGTTTTCTTATTCTCTCCTTTTAATCTGAGTAGAGTTGTCTATGTGGAATGTTGAGTCGGAATGGAAACCATGCACAAGTCAAATTAGCTTCCCATGAAAAAGTCCACCATGAAAAAGGGGTGGACGATCGGTCACTCTGATATCCTAAAACGAACTTTGCAATTTAAAATTCAAATGAAGTGAATTTTTTGCTTAATTGTTTTGGAGTTGGGTGGTCATCATCTTGAACGTAATAGAGAGCATATCTAAATATTATGACGCTTATAATAAGTTGATCTTGGGAATCTTCATTCGAGCACGCGTTTGATTTATTTACGTGAAACTGTTATGGTGGAATTATTATTTTGGATGATTTAACATTTTTTTATTTTTATCAATGGTTACTTTATTAAACAACTTGACAAAAATATTTGCTACTTTTATTTAATTTCAATTAAGGAGAGAGTAATCTTTTTGACTGATGTTTGAGCTTTCAATAGTCAAAGGGAAAGTTTCTGTTAATCAGTCAAATAACAAAAATTTAAAGTTAGGAAAAAGGAATTAAAAAAAGTAAGTATTTCCGTCATTTTATTTATTTTTTATTGTTGCGTCCATGTATTAAAAATTTCTCAACCTGTGCTAATTATCACATTTATAAACTTAATTTTTTTTATTTTTGTTATATTTTATTAATCAACAAATCTTGTCTCTTATAGCAATTTTCGTTCAATAAATCTGATGGAAAAATTACAATGATATACAACTCATTTTTAAAATAATAATATATTTTTCTCTTAATTTCAAAGAATGAAAATAGGAAATTCGGAATCCATCGTCATAGATCGAATGTGTTATTTAATGAAATATTGATATTAAGAATTCGACTAAAAAAAATTAAAAAGTTAGAATGAGTAGATATTATTTAATGAAAGATTGATATTAAGAATTCGGATCATATATTTTATTATCTTTTCGACCCTTAATTTTTATAGAATTTGCGAGAATTCCCCAAAACTCAAATTCTTAAAGCCCTATTCTTAAACCCCAGCTGCTTCTACCGGCGAAACGGAGGCACCGCCGCGCAAGAATACAGAGAAAGAGATGGCGCAATCAGAATTCGAAATTGATTTGGGAAATCTCATGGCTTTCGATCTGCATCGTCAATTTCCTTCTACTTTCTCTTCCAGGTTTTTCTTCTTTTTACTTTCTTAAATTCATCATTCTTTTTTTATGCTGTATATGTATATGTGATTGTGTTAAGTGAGATGGTATGTTTCATTACGCATTTTAACTTTTTGAGCTTAATGAAGATTGCAGGCAGATTATTTTGATTTTTGTTCTTAGATAGTTTATGTGGATTTTACATATTCAGATTTTGTTGCAACTAGGGAGGAGCTAGTAAAGGAGGCTATTGAACAGGGAACCAAATTGGTGCAAGCAGTTGCTGATGCCCTGTTTAATAAACCGTCAACTGAAGAACTAGATGGTCCCATTGTCAAGTTGCCTGCGCCTACGACAAAATTGCCGAGAGAGAAGCCTGTATGATTTTCATTCTCATTAATTTTTAGAATTGCGAAAAGAAACCAAAAGTGGAAGAAGAGTAAATGAAAAAATATAGCAAAAGATTTCTTTTTGTTATTCGGAAATATGCATTGCGTGTCTTTTTTTACTTTTGGTGTTGGTGAATACTAAATACCACAGGTTATCCAAAGAAAGGAATGAACTGACTTCATACCTGCCTTTGTTATCTATTACTTTGGAAATAGTCCAAGACTTAAGGAGTGGTGTGCATTTATCATGTAGATTGGTAGCAAAAAGACAGCTGCTGGGATTTCATTTTTGAAACTTTCTGTAATCTTTTTTAGTTAGAGATGAAGTAATGCTATTGTTTAGGTAAAGTCTTAAAGATGTCTAATGTCACCTAAATGTGTACGGTTACTGTCAATGACAAGAAATTGCAATGCACCGTGCTCAATAGACGTAGCATGGAATAAGCGTGTAGCAGGTGTAAGGTAAGGAGGTTAAGCAACTAGAAACCAAGGAAGCAACAGATGCACAATGGAAGAAACTGCAGTAGGCTTTGACCTGTTAAAAGGCATTATTGAAAAGTTAAGTTAATTGATCAATTATTTTGAATTTAGCAGCAATGAAGATTTTTATGGGGATGCATTATTAAAAGAAACTGCAGTAGGCTTTGACCTGTTAAAAGGCATTATTAAAAATGATTTTTATATAAAACTCTTATGATACTGGCAATAGTACTTAATATTAAATTTTGTCTACATGGGAGAATTCTAGCACGAATAGGATGTCTAAGATTAGATATAGCAGGGTGAATATTAAATCATGAAATGTGGATTTCGTACTTGTATTTAATGCTTGATCCCCTTCTGAATTGCTGCCGCCTGCCATGTATCCTAAATTTAAGAACATTGACCAATAGAGAGCTCAGTGATTGCCTGAACGAAATCGTGCCAAAGGAAATCATAAATGAGCACTATGTGATGTAGAACTGATGGGAGAAAAAGCTTGAGTAACTATTTCCTTTTTCAATAAAGGGATTATGATTAAGTTATGCTGGCTGATGAGCAGATGATTTAAGATTTATTATTATTATTAGTATATAATTATGAGTTTGAAATTTTCTTGTCCTCGTGGTTTTCAGCTTCCCAAACCTAGACCTCCAACAAAATGGGAATTGTTTGCTCAAAAGAAAGGTTTGTTTATCATAAATCGAACTGCTTCTTTGGGTTATTTATCTTATGCGTAAAAAGTGCTTTTTTTTCCTTGGTTATGATTCAAGGCAATTCTTCCAAGGCTTGGCGTGTCATTTTGATTTTGTGATCATATCAGTTTGAAATATCATGTAGGTATTGATAAACACAAGAAAGACAAACTTGCATTTGATGAGCAAACCGGTACTTGGAAGCGACGTCATGGCTATGACCGTGTAAATGACGACAAGGATATACCTATAATTGAGGCCAAGATGACAGATGGTAAATAATTTATAGTTCTTTGCACTGTTTTTCCCCACTCCAACAATGTTTGTCGAATGTTGTGGCGATGACCCAACTTGTTCTGAGATAATTAATTATTTACTGTTCGAAAAAAATTATTGCTAACGTCCTATATTGATAGCAGATATACAAAGGAAACTTGTTATCTATCACATATCAAGCCTCTGTTTGGAAACAATTTATAAATAGATAGAAATGAGTGGTGGATAGGCATACAGTGAAATTTATGTATGCACACTTGCTCCTTTTTTATTACTGCTCCTTTTTTATGATATTCGAAACTCTTGTGGAATTTTAGTTCAATATTACTCTTCAATTCTGTAATAATCATTGTTTTACATTTCCAGAACCAGGAACGGATCCTTTTGCTGAGAGACGAAAAGAGAAGAAGAGCAGAGTTGAGAAGCAAGAGAAAAATAGGTTGCTGAACTTGAAACAAGCAGCAAAAGTTGGTGCCTTGCCTAGGTTTAATCCCCGGCCTTCTCATACATACTTTTCTGTTCAATTGTCATTTAGTTTTTGAATTGAATTTGGAAGTGTATAAATTAATCTGCCATTGGAAATTGATAGCACATCTGCTTCTTTATCTACTAATGATGTAATATAGAACCCAACTCCGACAGTACCGCATTCAATGTACTGGTTATACCTCATAGAAAATGCATTTTGTGCTTGCCAGCTAGTTTAATCATTCTGCTACACAATCTGGTTTTGTTTCTGAATTGCAGCCATGTTCAGCTTGCTGCCACAGCCTTACCAATAACAGGAACCCAAGCAAGGCCTCAGAAAGTGGGCAAGACTGAATTACAAAATGTTGCCGGAATGGCATCGACTGCAACAGCCAGTGGTGGAAAATTTGACAAGAAATTGCCTGGAGAGAAGCCTCCAAAGCATGAAAAGAAATACCGAAAGGTTGATGCAATCCATTAAGTTCTTGTCCTTGTAATTATTCTAGTAGTATAGTATGAAAAAAGGTCTGAATACATTTGCTACATATCTGCATTCAGTTCTTGCCTGCTGTTGAAGGATCTGGAATGGGTGCGTTAGAAAAGCAACAAACAGAAAAGGTTCTCAACAAGTTGATCTCCAAAAATTCTCACGACGTACTCAATGTTGAAAAGGTGAATTCTTTTTACTAGCATTATAGGTTTTCCATGATTTTTCACCTTCTGTGTTGTCACTTCGAATTGGGCTTGTTTGGGATGTAGGCTGTGAACATGTACAATGTGAAGAAGGAAAAGAAACGAAGAAACAATGAAGGGAAGCCGTCAACCCGAAGCAAGTTGAAGCCAAACAAGAAATCTCTCAAGAAAACATCAAAAAGGGTGTCTTCTAGTAAAGGGAAGTAAAAAGCAATTTTGCTAGATAATATCTCGTGCCCTTTTCATTAAGCTTTTTTTCTATTTTATTTCATATTCGGGCAGAGAATATCACGTGCCTTTTTTATATGAATTCAATCAGTATTGTGATACAAAATGGTGAGATTTGAACTTTGCATGAGTTGTTCCATTTTTGGTATATATTGGGTAGGGATTTCTTGCCTGGGATTTTTTTTTTTTTTCATTTTTAATTTATTTTTTTGTGGGTTGTGGAGGTGTAGGGGCTTGCCCTTACTATTTCACCTTACTCTTAAATAAAAAATAAAGGAAATTGAGATATTTCAATCTTGCCCGTCCCTGTGAATTCCTAGATTTTTAGTGGTCCAAACTCTTGTGGGAGCAAATAAAATATCAATTTTATCCATAATCTATGGCAGTAAATTGAGGAGAAGCTAATCCAAAAATTCTTTTACAAATTCAAAAATAAGAAATGAAAATATGAAAGGTTATCCAATTACTTAAATTTCCAATCGCATAATATAAGTACAATAGCATATAAATAAAATTCATTAAATTCTATTTGCGATAACTACAGTTTCATCGGGTGTCTATAATTTAATTTTCGGATATTCGCAGATTTCAATTGTATAATTTCATTTAATTTAATTTTAATCTGGTAACTATACTTTAATTAGACTTCAAATTAAGGCAATTTTGTTTATTTTACTTACGAAAATTGACAACGTGATGATTAATAAATAATAGTCATCACATGTAATTGTTAGTTGTTGACTCAAATAAGTACAAATTAAATAAAATAAATAATGATCGTCATTTATTTATTGTCACGCCATTGATTTCGTCAATTCTGATAACACAACTGGACGGAGTTATGCAAATGAAATCAAATTAATGTGTAGTTCTTCGATTGAATAAAATTGAAATACAAAATTAACTTAATGAAATTTAAAGGGAAAAAAAAGGTTGGTAAGAAAATGAACGAAAGCATTGTGTGACAGACCCCACCCATTTCATCAATAAAAATATAGGTTGAGTACAAATTGCACCATGGTCTTCAACCTATTGTCTTTTTAGCGAATTAATCTAAATCATTGATCTTATTATTTCTACTATGGAATGAGTCAATCATCCAATTTTGGATTTCATTGAACAAAAAGGGTGATATTGATCCTCCATTGATCAAGATTTAGATTTTTTTCAATAAGTATCATAATCATCTAATAAGAAGGATTTCCTTTTTTTTATTTCAAATAAACAATTTGAAGAGGCGTAGATAGTTTCTACTCTTGTCCTGACTCGTTGGAAAGCTAGATTTGCCTCAATTATATTGATTTTTTTGTTAAATCTTCATGAGATCATTTACCGAAGATGTGGACATGATCACTATTGTAGAAGATCGTACAATTATAATGAAAAATTGAATACTAAATCGTTACCGAAGAAATAATGAGGACCAATATTGCAATTTTCTATAGGTAAAAATAAGTAGGTTTTTGCTTTGATTTGGTAGAAACTTGGGTAGTTGTTGAAGTTGATTCCATATGTGGTAGTTGAAAATCGATTGCATATATTACACGTTGATTCTAGACTGCTTGTTTGTACAATAATTGGTGTCTCAAAAGCAAATTCTTTCGTAGGATTTATATTCACTTAAAAGCATGTTCGAGAAGTGATCATAATTAATTTAAATTATAAATGAGTGATGAATATGTGAAAAATTATAAAGTAATTGAATAAAAAGTGATTTGATGAATTATAAATTTATAGATAATTTCTTAATGGTAACCAAACAAGGGATTGTGGTGGTTAGTGGAGGAGGCTGGAGGCCCTTATAATATAATAAACGCAAGTGTAAATATACAATTAAGTATCGATTAGCACTAACCCAAAGCAAACTTATTCTAAAGATTTCTCATTCCCCAAGGGACACTACTCTCGTAGGCAAGCGCAACAGTACGAGATTCTATATACAAAGTTTTGCCCTCTCCGCCCACCCCTTCCTTCTCTACTGAGCTCTGCTTCGTTTTACATAGAAGGGAGAAGGGAAGGGACGAAGAGAGCAGAGAAAAGAAGGAAAGGGGACATTTTTCTGGTAATTTCCGCCCATTTTTGTAGTTTCCCTTGTAAAAATCAAAATATTCGTATTCATATACCCTTATTGTTATACTTGAGTATTGAACTTTGTTTTTGTGTTGTTGGTGAAGGAAAAATTTAAATTTTGAGACCACTTAGTTCATACATAAGTTTGGGAAACATCCGTTTTCGAGTAATCCGTTTCTTATATTTGTGGGATATAAAAGAGGGCTCTGGTGGTTTTGTTTACTGCAAAACTATTTGGAGATAATTATATTTGCTTTGATCTTTGAACATATGGGTAGAAGAAGGGCACAAGGCGTGAAAAATGAGGGGTTGTTGTTGAATTCTCGAATTGGGTTCTTGTGGTGTCCCCAAGATGAGAATTATCACATTGGGGGGTTGTTTGCAAGTGTGGGGCAAATGGGGATGGGATTTGGGATGTCCCCAAATTCTACTGACAATGCCTTAAAGCTTCCGATTTCGTTTGGGAAGCACGGGTTGCCAGAACCTGGTTTGTCTATGGGTGGATTGGTGGAATCAGTGCAGGGTGAAGCTTTGAAAGTTGGAGAGGAAGGGGTGCTGACTACGAAAAATAAGAAAAAAAGTGGTCTTAACTTAAAATTTAAGATTGGGAATCCATCGTTGAGGAGGTTGATAAGCGGAGGGATTGCAGGTGCAGTGTCACGGACTGCAGTGGCTCCATTGGAGACAGTAAGGACTCATTTGATGGTAGGTAGTTGTGGCCATTCAACGACTGAAGTATTCCAGAATATATTGAAGCATGAAGGATGGCAGGGCTTATTCAGGGGTAATCTCGTGAATGTTATTCGGGTTGCACCAAGCAAGGCCATAGAGGTATAAGATAGTATTTTGTTTATAATTCATTGGTGTGTTCTCACTGAATTATCACTAAATTTTATGCCTAATTGATTGCATCGTTAGTTACATATTCTTTAGCTTGTATACCCCATATCTCATTGGCTTGTATTATTTTTTTTACTTGTTGATTCCAATTGATTGCTGATGATTATGTGCCCGACAGTGTAGTTCAAGCTACTGCATTTAGTTGAACATGCTACTGATGAACTTCTTGTAACCTATATAACTTGTTTGGTAGAGTGGATTATCTAGTACTACACAGTATTAAAAAAGAAGTGTCATGTCTTATCAAATACAGTGTACCAAACTTGCCGCTATGATATGCAAGTCAATGTGGCGATCCTCATGTTTTTTGGATACATATGTTAATCAAAACAATTTTACATACTCAAATTATCAAGTCTTCCCACTACGTGAGCACCATTTTGTATTCAGTTTGTGCAAATTGGAATAGTATTGAATATAGTCATATACTAAACATGACGTTAGAAATTGGGTGCTTGTCCTAAGTCATGATAAAGAGTTCACGTGAGTTAAATTTTCTTAAAAAGTTCCTTTTAGATAATGTAGGGCCATCATTATATACTATTGGCATTTTAGCTACTTTTGCCCTTGACTTTTTCCTTGCCTCTAAAAAAAATATGTTTGTCTGGGAACCATTAACTTGATTTTGAAGGTTCGCTTGTTAATTAATGACAAAAACAATAGTTATAGACACGTAGGGAAACAAAAATGGATTGTTGTTAAAAAGAGACAGGCGCCCTTTACATCCTGTCCTGATGATTTTAACTAATAAATCTGTTTGTATTATTGATAAATTGGCACTTTTGTATGAAATACGTGCAGTTATTTGCTTATGACACAGTTAAGAAGCAGCTGACGCCAAAACCCGGAGAGCATCCCAAACTATGTATACCTGCTTCTCCAATTGCAGGTGCTGTGGCGGGAATTAGTTCTACCTTATTCACTTACCCACTCGAGCTGCTCAAAACTCGACTCACTGTGCAGGTATAAAAAAGTCCGTCGTCCCATCCTTTTTTGAGTAATTCCTTGTCATATTTTTTTGCATTTACTGCCCTTTTCATCTGCAGAGGGGCGTTTACAAAAATCTTGTAGATGCATTCCTGAAAATTGTAAGGGATGAGGGACCTGCAGAACTATATAGAGGCCTCACTCCGAGTTTAATTGGAGTAATTCCATATGCTGCCACAAACTATTATGCCTACGACACGTTAAGAAAGTCTTATAAGAAAGTTTTCAATAAGGAGGAAATCGGAAATATTGCTACCCTTTTAATTGGATCTGCAGCTGGTGCAATTTCAAGCAGTGCAACGTTCCCTCTTGAGGTGGCTCGAAAACATATGCAAGCCGGCGCTCTCAATGGGAGACAATACAGAAACATGCTTCATGCCCTTATAAGTATACTTGAACACGAAGGGGTCTCGGGTTTATACCGGGGCTTGGGCCCGAGCTGCATGAAATTAGTCCCTGCTGCTGGAATTTCTTTCATGTGTTACGAGGCATGCAAGAGAATACTGGTCGAAAAGGAAGATTCATGAAAAAGCAGACAGGCCAGGGAAAAGGCCTTGACCTTGAGGACTTCCAGTTCTTGTTCTCTCATTGCCGAAGGTGCTTAACATCCTTTCATCTTGTTTTCTTATTTCTTATTGAGGAATCCTATTCTTGAGAGATAGATAGTACTTGTGTTTTGGCGCTACTTGTTGGTTTTGTTCAAGAATTTTTTCTTCTTCTTTTTCAAACTGCCATACGGTTCTTCTAGGTACTCGCAAAATAATTCTGGTTTCAGTGGATGCTAATAATGTGATTTGCAAAATCTATTGCTTCTGCCCTTTTGGAAACTGTGGTAAGAAGTATTAGAAAAACCACTAATTTATGCAATGCATTGCTATTGTGGATATTAGTTTCTATTGTTTTCTTTTCCATCACTACATGCATCTTTTCTGTTTTTCTCTTACTTTTCTCTCAATGAGTAACTTATCTGTAACTTTGATTACTTCAATTAGAAGTAAACTTACTTTGTGATCATCGGATTGCGTTCATCTCCAATAAGTCGTGGTCGGGTTCTTGAAACAGTCACCTATCAGCATTCGGCACCCTAAAGAACTGCAAATCTCAAAGGTGAGAAATCATATGACACATCGTTAGCCTCTCGAGCCATGTTAGAACTCGACCGTGTTAAAAATTCTCTTACTTTCTGCAATTTGATCTCTAATTTCTTGTGGAGATTCATGTGCTTGCATAGAGTGCATGGGGAATACAGAAAAGCATATTCCACACACCCAATTATATCATCACTCAATGCCAAAAGACTTGTTTTATCATCTAAAGGAGTATTAGAAATAGTAGGATGGTGGGGACCTCGTGGTGGCAAGGATGGGGAGCAAAGACTGGGAGTTAAGATTTGATGTACAACTTGTTGTTCATCCAATTAACTATTGACACATCATTTTTAAATTGACATATCATCTCAAATTTACTCTCCTTAACTTCACCACTAATGCATCAAATTGATGACATGTTGATTTAAAATGACGTGTCAATAATTAATTGAATAAACAACAAATTGATAGTCAAAAGTTAGAGAGCGGATCTTAACTCGATTTTTTTTCGGGGGGGTGGGTTTAACCTTCTCTACATTTTTTTTTTTTTTGTCCTTTCCCTTTTGTTTCTCTTTGAAATGTAATTATTGTGTCACCCACTTTACACCCCCCTAAAAAGTAAGTAGTGTAGCTCCTAAACAGCCAAGTAGACAGAAACCATCAACTGGGGACCGAAATGTAACAAAAATAAGTTGAAGTGCTACACTATGCATAGGTTGGGTGGCCTCAGTAATTTTCCCAACATTTTATATAATGTAACATTCAGAAAAAAAATGTTCTAATAAAATATTGTGCGAAAAATTATCTTGTGAAAGCTGAAATTTCGTCTTACTCTCCTCAGGCTCAACTGCAAATCCATTATTTTTCAAAATCATCTTGGCGAGATTGACGTAGAAGAAGAGATGCTTTTTCTGTACTCCTAATTCAGTCCCAACAGTCAATAAACACACTACTTTATATATTAGAATTTTTATGGAGAAAAATGATAATAATTAGCAATAATTTGTTTCAGGCTGAGGGTTTATGCTTCAGCCGGGGCCTGAGATTTTTTTGGGGGGATAATTACATAAATATCCATAAAATTGGGGGCATTTAGAAAAATCATGCTAGAAGTTATGAACTGGGCTGCAGTGCCAGGGAGGGTGACCCTCCCTGACAGAACACACACATTGGGGGAGGGAAGCATTTTTTTCATTTTTTATTTCATGTGGGTTTCACGTCGATCCCACACTCATGTGAGGTTAGGTCAATCAGGTGGGCAAATTAATTCGGACAAACTAACTTAATTCAAAAGTTATTTTGAAGTAAAATACGGTCATTTTTGTCCATGCACGATGTTCAAGACCGACCAATACATTTGCAACTCTGACACTATAGCCCAAGAAACTGTTCTAAATTTTTTAAGGACGGGTTTATATGGGTTGGTATTTTAATTTTCACAAGTAAAACTTTAATTATTTTGACAGTAAATTAGATAAATAACTTATTTATATGCGTTAGTATTTGTGGTTGCAAGATTACTTATTTACAACTATAATTTACATTTAAAAAAGTGATGAACACTCAAAAAAAAGTAACTAAAAAATTGACTGAAATTAAAAACAATGCGACACATACTCGAAAAAGTGATATAAATTCAAAACAAGTAACAAAAAATAAAAACGTGATAAACACTAAAAAAAAGTGACGTACTATCAAAAAGTGACACAAATTCAAAATAAGTGA